GCTGGGTGGAACCCCGGGCAAAGGGAAAAACCCTAATATTTCCTTTCAGATAGATTCTCCGCTAGAAGCGGCAGAGTTAAGATCGCTTAGATTGGCGTTTTGAGCGGTACTCGTTAAAAGCCTTTAAACTAGCAAGACCAACTCAGGATGCTTTCCTGGAAATATGGTTTGTTATTTACCTTGATCAGCAGCACGCACCAAGTTTTCTTTTTCTGAGTGACACCCTTCTAACAGATGGTCACTTTTTCTCGAAACTTGCTCTTCATAATCTTGGTTTGATAGCAGCTCGTATTCATGACTGATTGATGAAGCCGACATTGTCAGCTCGTACACTATTGACCCACATATAAACTGCCATATTCGAGACAGTGGGAAGCCGTAAGATACCTGACCAAACGTTAATTTTCAGTGAAACAACGAACATCAGTGCTGGATGCTCATTATCTGATGCTGAATAGACAAAACTCTCATTCATATCGGTTTGACGTTCTTGGCACTGTGTTCAAAACGCAACGTACAAGAGATTTCGTTGGGTTTGAGTTTTGTTGATTGTTACACAAACTTCAATTTATCAACAGTGTTTATCAACACTGTCTTAAAAAAGAATTAACAGTCTATGAGCAGTCAACCCATATTTGCCTTACAATGCTGATAAATAGTTTGTGAGACACCCCTGTTTACCCTTAATGGGGACCTGGACACATAATTGATCCAACCCTGTACGAGCTGGAGATAAGTTTTGAGGTTGACTTTGCTAGTTTTTGTATTTATGGAAAGCAAAGCTTGGAGATCCTCCTCAATTCCTCAGAAAAAATTCCAAAAGGTGGGTAAATGATTGGTTAGCAAGACAATTAAAGTGCGCGCCAATAATGTACATAAATTATAAAAATATGCTATATTTTTTGCCAGGTTCTCAAGAGAAAGTGATAAAAAATACTGAAAACAATCACATTTTGTCATTGACGTTTACCCTAAAGTAACTTCCACCTTTAGGTCGCAATATATATGCCCTTTACTAACTTTCCTATATTGCATTAGAACCCATCAACGAATGCTAATCTGGCAATAGTTATCGTCATTCCGCGCCTAGGTGATACATGCCAGTAGTCTGATAACTCATGCTAAGAATGGTGGTCTTTCTAGCTGAACTTATTATTGGTAATGCAAGTGATGTGGATACTGCGCATGCCGTGAGAGAAAACTCAATGCATGTTTCATCATAATTCTGCAGCAGAGTGTATTTTTCTCAAAAAATCTTGACGCAGAAAACAAAACTACTGTTTCAAAAGCAACCATTATCTTCCGTTTGCAAGTATACAAGTGCTCTGCGGTGCGACCCATTGAACTCTTCACTCCTCCTCCCCTCGTACGGTTTTTACCGCTCGGAGCCTACATTTTGTGAATTGCAAAGTTGGAAAGCAATAGATGTTGCTGCAAGACAAAAGGTAGAACATCAGTCAAAAATTGTGCTTGAGATAGGATGCTATCCACATCATCATAGGTACGAATAAATAGTATTGCAGTTCTACTCCAAGAGACCAGGTATGTACGAAAAATCGATATTCGGATAGCTTAAAATTGCAACATTTATAAATGGGAAGTCATTCCCAAAATCGACCTGCTGCCAATATGCAATCATTTGGAAAATTGGCTGTAGGTTGGATATGAACGTACACACCCATACAAGATCCTTTACGAGTTGTTTTCGATCAAAACGTATTACGCCAAAATAACCATCTGCAAACATAAATCTCTTGCACAACGTTGTAGTTTCAATTCGGTGCTTAAAATTAATTCTTACATGCATATGTGCAGAGAACAACGAACATGTACAGGGGCACAATCCTTTTGAACCTGCGGCAATAAAAAGAAAAAGTCGAAGCCAAGGTTATCTCATTTTGCAGAATTATTTTAGACATGAGGTAACCAGACAGGGCGAAAAACCTAAGCATGTAGAGAATTTCACTCTAAAATAAGGAAATATTGCGCACATGTCTACACCTACAAATCCCAAGCGATAAGACTTTGGTTGCAAGTGCATTACAAGAACAAGCAGAATTGCGACTCCTCTCAAGCCTTGTAAATCAGCCCTTTTGCTCCCAAAGAAAACGTAGTCTAAATCTGTTTCTGATAGTTCTCCAAACTACAGAGTCCTTACATATTTGTTAATATTCTTGGATAGTCTCCTCGTCTCCTTAAAAAAATTATACCCTGGTGAAAATCTCGAAAAATATGGAAAAGTGAGAAGGTGCAGCATAAACGATTACACGCAATTCAGGAAAATTCAAAATGCAGTATGTTCGTTCAAAGCAATGTTAGCCAGCTCTCAAAAATTAAACAACTATAATTCCGTTTTCTTTGGATAAGATCTTAAACTTGGTAAGATAAGAGGCGGTAAGATCTGTCATAAACTCCCTTTTGAGAGAAGTGGTGTCGCCGACCGTAACCTCATTCTCGTCTTTAATCTCGGTATGAAATGTTGCACTTGCATTGTCGTTATAGAGAGAAAATCATCATAGATGACCGCCATTTATTTGTTGGGTTGCCGGATAGTTGTCACACCTTTTGTTACGATTTTTGAAATCTCGGAGGCTTTTGAAAGATTTCATGTTACCACGTGTAGGAGGTCAAAATTTTTCATCCATACTGTCGCATTCGTGATCCATGCGCACAACATTTGAGTGGGAGCACGTTTTACCATTTTGATCAATAAGCAAGCATTCTTCAAAGTGATGAGCGAGAGGCTGGACAATGTGATAATCTGATAGATTATAGTCTACAGTATTTGGCAGATACGTAGGGAGATGACACAGTAGTCAGCGCGCGCCATCTTAGCAGTCATCGACATTCTAACAAAAAGGAAGTCTTTTAAAAAGTCAAAGATCACTCTTAAGCTTTTTGTGTTCGTCTCTACGCGATTTACGTATAAAGGAAAATTTTAAAAGTTTTATTTATTTGATACTTCCACTCCTCGTCTCGAACCGTTAAAGCGACCGCAGTGTCTCCATGTAAGACACAGCGACATTATGTTTAAAAAAATAGAAAAGGAAGAGCACGAGGTGCGGAGAAAAAAGTCAGGGAAAAATTGATAAAATGAAGGTGTTCACAAAACAGTTTTGACTTGCTGGTCAATTGTGCATTTGCGAGCTATTATAATGAATAAACACTGCCTTAAGTGTCTTGCAAATTTGAAATTTTCAGGAAGCTTCTGAAATTCTCAAAAAGAAAAAAAGTATGACAGAAGAATCCGGCAACTAATACTAAGATCCCAGTATTGCTATATCAAATACCATTTTCCAATACTCTCGCCTAGAACTTCGAATATTTTAGAAAACGGTTTCATTAGTCTCAGACAATCTGGGAGATTACGAGAACATCTGTCAGACAAAACTGTCTATTTAACCAAAGGAGAAGGATGAGAGGCAGCCGGTATTCCCGTAGAATTTTATGGCCTTCGTAACCGTATGGATGTGGTCCGTGAGCTAGCTAAATCCTTTGCGAAATCCATCTGGTTTGCTGTGGACTTCATACATATTCAAGATATGCGACCGACAATAATCTTCGTGAAAAGCTTGTAAGTCACAATCAGCAGGCATATTGGAGGAAGTTCCAAATGTTCTCCCGTATGCCGTTCTCAAAGAGAATGTTCTTTAATTCTCCACTGATCGGGTTCTCCTTCATTAATAAAATGTTGTATACGACGTGAAAATCTCGTGCAGATGTTGTCCTCCGGCTCTTAGGAATTCGAGGAAAGCGAAAGCATTGTTATGTTAACCAGTTGAAAATTAGTGTATAGAGATATAAAATTAGGATGTTGTCAAGAACGAGTCTTCTACCAAAAAGCTATCTCTGCACAACGTGAAAATTTGGGACTATTCGTGTGAAAGTTTCATTAGGTGATGCAAATAGTCGAGATTGATAGTGTACACACAAAAGCCTAAAATAACTATACAAAAATGTTGGACTTGACCTAATTTCCGGCTCAAGGGCATTAAGGAGATCGTGATCCAATAGTAAGATCTTCCACTTAAATACTTCTGCCTTATGGTACTACATCGATTATACATATCACTGAGATTTGAACGATCACACACCACTCGTTTTTGCCAATATTAAGCCAGAGTTCGAACGTTACGAACATCTACGAAATCATACTAATTTTATCTTTGACAAGAATATGCTTTGAATTTATGAGGTTGTGCGTTATACCACAAAACCACAATAGCTCCCGCCATGGTCGGCACGCGGGCCAGGTTGTCCTACGGTATTCCGCACCCATGCACGTTTTTACTTTACTTGCAAAAACTGTTACATTTGGTAGAAATAGCTGCTAGCAATTTACGCGAAATTGCTTGTGGATTTGATTGAAAATGTGAGATCACACAGACAATTTCTGAGGTCGGAGGTTGGTTAGACTAGATTGGACTTGTTATGTACCAGAGCGGATGCAGAGAAGCTTTATGCGA